ACTATGTGGGTGTCAAAACAGGCAAAAGAAAAATGTTAAAAATACATTAATGTTACCCCTTCTTTACTCCCCAAATCACCTTCAGTAAGTTTGAAAGGTGAAAATTCTGTCTGAAAGAGAAGACTGATCAGACACCAGAAGTGACAAATTATTAAGCTACATTTTGCACATGATTTACCTAGACTCCCCACTGAGTTTGCCAAGAACCAGGTTCAGTTAGCAACCCGGATCACAATTACTTTTTCATAAACTATACTCTCCTAATTTACACAAATGCACAGTTCTGTTTAATCTTGGCATGCTTTAAATTAAAATTTGATTACCGATGTTTACAAGAATCAAGACCAGGGCTGAAGAGATGGCTCGCAGTTAAGAGCACTTGCTGCTCTTTCAGACAACCAGAGTTCAATTCCCAGCACACATGTTGGATGGCTCACTAAAACGCCAAGGGATCTTCTGGCCCTTGAGGGCACCAGCACAAACATGGCACACCAACACAGGTGCACACACAAACACATAAATAAAAAACAATGAAGAAAATCAGAACTAAATGTTTTTTTCATTTATGTCATCATCTACTGTGCCATCCTCAAGAAGGTTGGGCCAGTGGGAAGAAGAGATGGATTCAAAGCTGAGGCCAGGGCTTCTCTCCTGTGGTACCCCAGGTCTCACTACCTCAGGCAACCAACCATTCAAATTGAATTTTCACTTTTTTTTAAAAATTGTTTTTGTCTTTCTGAGGCAGGGTCTCCCTGTAGCCCCAGCTGTCCTGGAACTCACTATGTAGACCAGGCTGGCCTTGAACTCACAGAGATCCGCCTGCCTCTGCCTCCCGAGTGCTGGGACTAAAGGCATGTGCCACCATGCCCAGCCTGAATTTTTCACTTTTATTGGCCCTGGTACTCCTTGTCAGTAATTATTTGATTTTCCCCATTAAATAGAAACAACTTGAGTATATTGTAGTATAAGACCACAGTGAAAGCCAAAAGAAATTCCACCTGTGCTACCTACCAATTTTGCACAGTGGTAGTGGGTACTGAACCCAGGGCCCTTGCACATGGAAGGCACAAGTTCTTCCACAGACCTGTATCTCTAGTCCTCAAATCAGATAAATATTAACAGGAAAGTAGAAAGAAACAAAAAACAAAAAACAAAAGGATACAGTTATATATACCTCACTAAAAAGGTTTGTGATTGGAGTCCTTTTTACCAGGAAGGTTCTGGGGATAGAACTTAAGTTGTCAGGCTTGGCAGCAACTTACCTGTTGAGCCATCTTGCCAGCTGTGTTTCCATCTTTCTCCCCTCCTTCTCCTTCCTCCTTCCCTCCCTCTTTTCTTTTTCTTTGGTCTTTTTGAGACAGGGTCTCCCTGTAGCAACCAGCTGTCCTGAAACTCACTATGTAGACCAGGCTGGCCTTGAACTCACAGAGATCCGCCTGCCTCTGCCTCCAGAGTGCTGGGATTAAAGGTGTGCGCCACCACACCTAGCTTTTTTTTTTTTTTTTTTTAAAAGACAGGGTCAGGGCTGGAGAGATTCAGCAGTTAAGAGCACTGACTGCTCTTGCAGAGAACCTGGGTTCGATTCTCAGCACTCATATGGCAGCTACAAACCATCCTTAACTCCAGTTCCAGGGGAATCTGAAGCCCTCTTCTGACCTCCGTGACACTGCACGACACGGGTGCATTCACATACATGCAGGCAATACACTCATACACATAAAATAAAAATATTTTAAAAAAAGACAGGGTCTCCCTGTAGCCCCAGCTGGCCTGAAACTCAATATGTAGACCAGGCTGGCCTCAATCTCAGAGATCCACCTGCCTCTGCCTCCTGAGTGCTTAGTGCCACCATGCCTGGCAAAAGACAAATATTTTTTAAAAAAGAAAAATAGTAAACAAGCCAGGCATGGTGACACATGCCTTTAATCCCAGCACTCAGGAGGCAGAGGCAGGCAGATATCTGTGAGTTTGAGGCCAACCTGGTCTACATAGTGAGTTCTAGCCCAGTTGGGATCACAGGGAGACCCTGTCTCAAAAATAAAGACCCGCCCTTTATCCAAAAAGGGTAGTCTCAATAATGAATCATGGCTAAGTGCAGTGGTGCATGCTCATAGTCTGGCTCTCAGGAAGCTGGACAGGAAGATCACTGAAGCCAAGTTCAAGGGCACCCTCAGGAACATACCAGAACCTCCTCTTAATCACAACAGTGAATCAACCAAAGAAAGAAAATGAGGATTATAACAAGAAAGAATGTGGCACAAACATTTTCACCCTCAACAGCAAGGACCCTAGACAGCACTGGTACCAATTTTCCATACCTGAAATTTTTAAAAAAAATATTTTATTTATTATTTTTAGTTTATGTGTATGCATGCATTACCTGCATATAGGTAAGTGCACCCGTGTCATGCAATGCCTGTGGAGGACAGGAGACTGTTGGATCCTCTGGAACTGGAGTTATACACAGTTGTTAGCTGCCATGTGGGTGCTGGAATTCAAACCCGGGTCTTCTGCAAGCACAGTCAGTGTTCTTAACTGCTAAGCTATCTTTCCAGCCCCAACCTCAAAGGTTTTTAAGAATATTTAAGGGATTAAAGAGATGGCTCAATGGTTAAGAGCACTGGCTGCTCTTGGCAGAGGACAGGGGTTTGGTTCTTTCAGTTCCAGGGCATCTGATACTCTCTTCTGACTTCTGTAGGTATTGCATTACATGAGTGTACTTACATACATGCAGGAAAAACTTACATACATGCAGTCTTATATTTTAGACACATAAAAATAAATAAAATTTTCATCTTTGGGAGGCGGACAGAGGCTGATCAGGAACTTTAGGCCAATCTTGGCTACACAGTGAGTTTGAGGTTAGCCTCAGCTATATGAGACCTTGTCTCAATCCTCTCCCTCCCCAAAAGATTTCCAAGAATAAATAATTAGCCCTGTTTTAAAAGCATAATGAAGCATAGGTTTAATTTAACATCTTTTTTTCTAATCATTTTTTTTATATGGGTCTGTTTTGCCTCCTTGTATGTGCAATGCCCTGCCAAGGCCAGAAGAGGGTGTCGAATCCCTTGGAACTGGAATTATGAACAATTACTAGCCTCCATGTGGGTGCTGGGAACTGAATCTAGGTCCTCTGGAAGAGAACAGCAAGTGTTCTCAACAGCTGAGCCATCTCTCCAGTCCCTAATTTAACACCTTATAGACCTCCAAATATGCAGCAGGAATCCAAAATATACAAAGTCAAATCAGGCACAAGGACCTAAGGAATAAACACAAAGTTGGCCTCTGGTGTGTGAGTGACTGGGAATTAGGGCCCGCTCTTCTATTTTGTTGTCAAGACAATATAAATAGTCCTCTCTGCTGTGTTTTCACATTTTTTTCAGATGGTTAGAAACCTTTCATTCTGGAACTTAACAGTCATAAAAACTTCTAAAAACTTCTAAAGTCAACTCTTGGTACAATTTAATCCAGAAATTTTTTCAGAGATTATAAACTTTAAATAAGAATATACAGCTGGGCATGGTGGTACACATCTGGCATCCCTGCACTCTAGGAGGCTGAGGCAAGAGAACTGCGAATTCAAGTCAGTTCAGGCTATATAGGAAGACCCCCAAAACAAAACAGAACAAGAATGCACACTATAGTATAGTAATTGATAAATCGGTTAGAGCAACTATTGAAGTATCAATCCAGGCAGCGTGTGTACACATTTACAGGTACATACCTGTAATCCCAGCACTCAGAAGGCAGAAGCACGAGGATAGATAGTTTGAGGCCAGCTTGGTCTACATAGTGAGTTCCAGGTCAGCCAAGGCTACATAGTGAGCCTGTCTCAAAACAAAACAAAAACAAAATACACACACACACACTCTCACACCAACAAGGGATTCCAAGAGGCTCTGCATTCCTGTTTGGCCTGTAAATCAGCCATGTTTCTGTGCATTATACACTGACACCCCTACAGACTTCCTGTGTTCCTTGCAGATGTTCAATGGCAGCAGATGATTACACATTTATAACTATTACACTGGGCTGGTTTGTGGGGCAGTTTGACGACTTTGTGGCATTTTTCCTTTGTATTTAATTTGAGTAGAATATGGAAAAAAAAAATCAAGTGGGTGATATGAGAACCACTGGTCTTAGGGCTGAAGAGATGGCTCAGAGGTTAAGAGCACTGACTGCTCTTACAGAGGACCCAGGTGTGATTCCCAGCACCCACATGGTGGCTAACAACTGTCTGTAACTCCAGTCAGGGTATCCAATGCTGCCTTCTCACCTCTGCAGGCATTGCATGACATGGGTGAGCTTACACACATGCAGGCAATACACCCATGCACATAAAATAAAAATAATATACCCCCCCCAAACAACAAACCAGTGGTCTCTACCCATTAAAACAGGAATAAAGACCCAGAGGAATGAAGACACCTAGTAGGACGTAAATAACATGCTGTGTTCAGCGCAGAAAAGGGGCAATGCTCCAGGAAAGGTTTCTATGATCACACCTAAAGAACGAAGAGGAACTGGGAATTCCAGAATGGCTTGGGCAAGATTGCCACAACTTCTCCCTATTTTGGTTCATTCTCTTTTGTAGAACCAACATTAACCTATTTATAGGAGTGTACTAAGTACAATATGAAAGAAGAGCGTTCCCAATCAAATCTGTGAGTACACAAATATGATTGTGTGCAGAAGTACAGTCATAGCAAGTGTTATTATTATTATTTTCTTTTTGAGACACAGTCTCCCTGTAGCCCCAGCTAGCCTGGAACTCACTATGTAGGCCAGGTTGACCTCAACCTCAAAGAAATCAAAGAGATTTGCCTGCCTCTGTCTCCCAAGTGCTGGGATTAAAGGTGTGTACCACCGTGTCCTGCAAAAGTTTTAATTTTTAAGAGATTCATTTAAAAAAATATATACTGAATGCTTATGTAAGAGTAGAAAAATTGGTTTTCCCAATCAACAAATGTAAACCAAAAAAATGAAACATTAATCTACAGTAAGAGGTGCTACACAAGAGACATTTATTAATGTTCTATTGTATTTACAGTTTTAATAAAGCAACCAAAGTGAATTACCACTTGGGCAGCAAGCACATCACCCTACAATTGTAACGCATAGGTTTCTGCTAACACATTGTAAAAGCAAGTAGTACAGTATGTTAGGGATCCTCTCAAAAGTTCGAAGCTAATTCTCTGCTTCCTAGTATCTGACCTTCTGGGATTCTATAAGCAGCTAGTTTCCAGAATGACATTTTTGTAATTATTCTGCATCCGTCTTTGCCCTTTATATTTTATGCATGACACTTTTAGATTTTCTCAGTACACACCACAGAACAAAAAAGGTAATTTCTGAATATAGACTACAAAAAATTAATGCTTATTTACCAAATGAGAACATTTTTTGATCACACCTTAAATGTATCTGCACTATGGTTTTGCTTCCAGGTGTTCACACACAGTACAACTGAACATGTTTCTAGGTTAATTTTAACAGTAAATATGGATTATGTGCAGAAATGCAGTCATAACCAAGTTATAACTTTTGAGAAAACCCCTTTTCGAACAGCCAGCCTTATACATATTTTACACTAAAGTCTGTAATTCCAAATTTGCTCTGAGATGGAGGATGAATAAAGCAAGATTGCCCCCTACTGACTACAGGGACATGGCTCATGCTATTTGAAATGACTACAAACAATATATATAAGGCATTATTATTAATACATCACAGACTTGATTGCAAGAGCTTTTTCAAACATTAACCACTAATGATTCGATGATTACAGAATTTTGCATTAACTATTAAAATTTTACACCTAGGAACAAATAGAGAAATGATCTTTTTTAACAGTACTTTATTTTTTAAAGCAGGTGATTACTCCTCTGTGTTCTGCATCTTGATTCACTTCCTGCAGGTGTTCTCTTGCTTCTTGAGGGGGAATTCATAAATGCAGGAAGGCCTTTGCCAGAAAACATCTGCCAGAGAAGGAGATTGAATAGTGAAACTCTAGTTAGCTTGTTATTTTAGCTAAGAGGAGAATGTAGTCATAGAAGACAGGATGTTTGGAGATACAAGAGGTACATTTCAACATAGTTTTAAGATTACTATACACTAACATCATAGTAGTCAATAAACATTAACATTTCCTATTCTTAACATAAAAGCCTCAAACTAGAAATAACTGGTATATTCTCTTTAAAAAGCAAGGCACCGAATTTCTCACTCTCCTCTGTCTTATTCCAGCACTCCTTACCAGGAGTGACTGAAGCACAGGACAGAATTCAAGTGCACAGGTAATTTTCCTTATATGCCTGTTGCCTTCATTCACTCAACAATTCTGCCAGCTCTCACTCAGGGAAGATTTCCAGGGATGCTGAGGATGTCACCCTCTACTTAAATTGTGGCAAAGTTAAAAGAAACTGTAAACTTATCCCCACAAAAATGTTTAGGATGTTCTTCAAGAGTCAATGTCTTTGGGAAGCAGGTTTTTCTGAAGATAATATATGCCATTCCTAATTAAAAAAATATATTTTATTTATTATTTTTTATTTTATGTGTATGAGTATTATGCCTGCATGTAAGTGAGTACACTCTCCTGCAATGCTGCGGAGGTCAGAAGAGGGCTTTGGATTCCCCTGGAACTGGAGTTAAGGACAGTTGTTAGCTGCCATGTGGGTGCTGGGATTCAAACCCAGGTCTTCTGCAAGAACAGTCGGTGTTTTTAACCACTGAGCCATCTCGCCAGCCCCGTTCCTAACTAATTTAAAGAAAGTAATATATATGCTTTTCAAATGATGTTTGTGTCTAATGTGTCCCCACTCCATCTCTTGAGCTGTGAATTGAACCTCCCATGCTAGGCAGGTTAATGTCATGGCCATGCCTCTGAGCCACAGTCCCAGCCCTGTACATCTGTTACTGCTTTAGCTCTCATGGAAATAACTTGGAGGAAAACTACAAGTAGCTCCTATTGCAATGCTAAAAGAGGAAGCACTAAAGACGCACATTCACTATTTAACGAGGATGAGGATCTACTTTTTGGTACCCAGTATCAGAGGAAATTAACTTATTAATTTAAAACTGTCAACATTTCCTAAACTTCAGATTCAGTTATGCTTAGCAGACCACTGACATGATACAAGGGCAACTTTTGTTTACACTGAGATGACAAAAGGGACCAAGAGACCTCAGCACAAGCATCACATTAGAGAGGATGACCAGACCACAAACAGCAGAAGCAGAAGGAAAGCTGGAACACTGCAGCCAAATGGAGGGTTTTCTAAGGAGGCCTAACAAACCTACGTCATTTTATTTTTATAGTTTTGAATAACAGATGAAAACTGATGAATCAAGGACTAGAAGTCAAAACTAGCCTGTAGGAACATGTCCTACCGGGTCACTTAATTTATGAGTCAGAACCTGCTACCCACTAATCATTTAAAATCAACAGAAGGACCTAGACAGGCTACAATAGTAAACTCTTAATCACCATACAAGCTCCAGATGAGACAGTTCTAGAGAGACTGCTGCCTCAGACTTGGAAGGCTGTCTGCAGAGACTTGAAGTCGAGTGCCACAGAAATGGTATGTGTGTGCTGGTGGACACACAGATCTCTGGGACTCTGGACACCACTGGTAGGCTAGGAATCAGATTATTTTGGGGATCCAGAAGCCCATAGACCGTTTAATTGAAAAAAAAAAAAAACAGGCCAACAGTCTTCTTGAATGCTTTGTGGTTTCTTTTTAAGCCAACTGTCTACTGGAAACACCATTTCAACTGTCTCGCTATTTTACATATCTGCTAAATCAAACTTTTACCTTGAGACAGATTTCCTGTAATAAGAGAGGAATCAAAGAACTGGGAGAAGGCTACAGGAAGGAAGAATAAAGCATTTGTCATCATGCAGGAAAAAAAATAATTGATCTTTAAAGACAGAGCTCACAATACTAAGAAAGTTTTTAATTAAGTGCTCAAGGGCTGGAGAGATGGATGGTTCAGCAGTAAAGAGCACTGACTGCTCTTGCAGAGGACCCAGGTTTGGTTCCTAATACCCACATGGTGGTTAGTAAGTTCCAGGGGATCCTACTACCTCTTCTGACCTCTGCGGGCATTACATGACATGGTACACTTACATACATGCAGGCAATACACACGTACACACAAAATGAAAATACATTAAGGGGCTGGAGAGATGGCTCAGTGGTTAAGAACATTGACTGCTGTTACAGAGGACCTAGGTTTGATTCCCAGGGCCCACATGGTGGCTAACAATGGTCCCTAACTCCAGTCCCAGGGGATCTGTCTAGCTGTTCCGACCTCCTAGGGCATTGCACAACATGGGTGCACTTACATGCGTGCAAACAATACACACATACACATAAAAAATTTTTTAAAGTGTTTGAGCTCATTAGTGCTCTGGGACTGGAGAGAGGGCTTAATGGTTAAGAGCACTGGCTAGTCTTACAGAAGACCCAGGTTTGAATCCCAGCACCCACATGGTGGCTAACAACTGCCTGTAACTCCAGTTCTAAAGGATCTGATGCCCTCTTCTGACCTCTGTGGGCACTACACCACATGGGTGCACCTACCTATATGCAAGCGTAATGCTCATACACATAAAATTAAAAATTAAAATAAATATTTTCTAAGGAATTGGGTCTGATGGTTAATCTTCATCATCGACCTGACTGGACTTAGAATCACCTTGGAAACATATATTTGTTTGTGTCTAAGAGGGTATTTCTAGACAGGTTTAACTGAGAGGGAAGACCCACCTGGATGTGGGTGACATATTTCCATGGGCTGGGGAGGCAGACTGAATAAAAATGAGAAAGCAAGCTGAGCAGTGGCATTTGTCTATCTCTGCTTCTTGACTGCGGATGCAGTGTGAGCAGCTGCCCCAGGTTCCTGCTGCCTGCCACCATGCCTTCCCCATCACAAAGGACCGGATTCTCCAAATGCACCAAAATAAACCCTCCCTTTAAGTCACTTCTTGCCAGGTATTTTGTCACAGCAATGAAAAAAGTAAAACAGTGGGTGAGATGGTGCCTGCCTGTAATCACAGTCTCAGGATGTTGAAGAAGAAAGGTGAGTTCAAGGCCAGCCTGAACTATGTAGACACTGTCTCAAAAAAGAAACAACAACAAAAAAAATCATGAAACAATGACCCCCCCCTTGCCTCTCCAGTTCAGAAGGAAAAAATGTGGTTAAAATAAGGCTTTTGAATATATCGTGACTCACTGGCACAGGTGTTTTTGGTACAACACTAGTTACAGTTAGACCCACCCCCTTTCCATTTCAGTAATTACCACCTTGTTTCCCTACCAGAATCAGGTATTCTATAGGTGTACTTTTCAGTGAAGGAAAGACATAATTGTTTTGAATAATACAAAAAGGTACACTTCTTTTTCTTCTGCCTCCCCAGCCTCTGTGCCCACCCCTTACCAATTCTTCTTGCCTTGTTATTAGTGTACTTTTCTTTGTTTGTTTTGTCTTTGAGACATAGCCAAAAGCTGGTCTGGAACTCAGTATGGTACCAGAAGGGCCTCAAACTCATCATCCTCCTGTTTCACTCTCCTGAGTATTGAGATGACAGGTGTGAGCAACTACATCTGGTTATTATACCAGCATACTGTTTTCTCCCTAGAGCCCAAGTGGGCTGTGAAATAGTGCTCCAGTACTGCCTCTACCACAGTGATGTAAACTCTGTAGCTGCCTCAAGTGATTCTGAAAGTCTTGCCCTTATTAACGGACTTTCACCAGTTGAATTCTTCTTACCACTTAATGTTTGTTACAACTGCTAACCACGTGTCACAAAGCCTTTCCTGGGGCCTTCAATCAGCATGGCCTGAAAGGACGTTATTCTATCACCTACATAGTTCCCCAAGGAGCAAAGAGCCACGTCCAAGAAGGAGTAAACTGTCTTGTCAGAGAGCTCTCTAGAATATTCTTTTCTTAAGCTATCTCACTCCTCAGGGAGCTGTTGGTAAAAGGTGGAACCAGCTTCTGGGAAAAACCACCTTGGCTGGGCTTAGTCTCTGTGATGGTTTGAATGAGAATGTCCCTCATAGGCTCGAAGTAGTCGAACATTTTGTCCCCAGCTGGGGGCACTGTTTTGGGAAGTCTTAGAAGTGTGGCTATGCTGGAGGAAGCACATCAGTGGGGGTGGGCTTAGAGAGTTCTTAAGCCTTGCCCAATCTCCAGTCACACTCTTGTTTCCTATGCCTGCTTGAAGATGTGGACCTTAGCTTCCACTCCTCCTCCAGCCACCTCTGTTGCCATGCCTCTCCGCCAGGATGGACTCTTGGAGCTGTAAGCTCAAATAAATTCTTCCTTTTCTAAGTTGCTTTGGTCAGTGTTTCTATCACAGCAACAGAAAAGTAACTGATATAGTCTCCCATTCCAGGCAAGGGGAAAAGTGTTTCCCTTTCCTCTCTTGGATTTGACTCTCCTCACCACCACAGTGATGATCTCGGGATACGAACCTAAAGGAAGGCAGCAGGAAAGGTTCAATGACTACTTTTTGTTTGTTTTTTCAATGACTACTTTTAAGAGGCAGAAGCCTTAGCAGGCTTATTAGTAGCTCAAGGAAAAGGACTAACGGTTCCTAATGTACTCGTCTGACTCCTCACTCTGTGTGACTAGGCCTGAAGGGTTCCCTCTGAATGTTTCTTATGGAACTGGTGTAACAGGGCACCTTCTTGACCATAGCTATGCCATGTTAAAGTTTAGGCTGACTCTAGTCTCTGAAATTATCAGGCAGTTGGCCCAGGGTATGGGAACACATGTCAGCTGGACCCCAGCTGTCTTGGGAACAGGTCAGAGCGTCTCAGAGTGCACCTGCTAACTGCAGAGTTATGATTTCTATAGGTTATGCTTGGCTTGCTTCTACAAAATAGTAATTGTCACTTAATAGGATAGAAATTGTTAAGGGGGCTCTCCACCTGTAAGCTTGGGAAGTTAAACTTTTCACCCCTGGCTATGGTTTCTCTGAATAGAAGCTTACCCTAGAGATGGCTTGGTGCTACACACTTGGGTTCCGACACCCTTGTTTAGTAGCCCTAGCCAGTAATGACTTTCATTAGGCAAAACTTTGTCTGAGTGGTCTTCTCTGGTGAAGCACCCCGTAACACTGGTGCAATGGTAAGCAGTAGCCTCAGAACACTGGGTTCAGCCCCCACTATCAATATCGTAGCCCCTGATTACCCTAAGACCCTTCCTCCTTTTCTTTGTCAAAACATTTTCTCTTATGGAAGTTTTTCTCATTTGTCCTTATCAACAGTTTTTTGCACCCCCCCCCAAAAAAAACTGTGAAAAGGCTGTGCCTTCCTTATCCTCTCTGTAGCCCATCATAGAGCCTTACTCTAAAACAGAGTAGAACTCTGCAATGGAGCACACGATCACAATGGGATCCCCATAGTACCTTTAATAAATAAAGAGAACTCTGGTCCTGGGGAGATTTGAGAAAGTTTCTGGCATCTTCCGAACTTTTGCATAATTGATAAATCCTCTGAGAAACAGGAGAAAGCCTAATTAAAAAAAAAAAAAAGTCAGGAATGAGTTTATAATTTCGACATTAAATCCCTTCCCCAGAATTACCCCTCCAAGAAGGAAGATGCCATTTTCCTGCTAAAGACTATTAACAGGAGCAGTTTCCTCCAGGGTCTCCAAAGGACTTTCCTGTCAAATGATTCATTTCTCAAGGAGAAGACATGATCTCAGGAGTAAAAGCCTCTTGTTCTTTCAGGATTTAATTGGTCTCAAAAGGAAATCAAATCTAAGATGGGACCAAACATTTATATTTGGAGGCCTCACTGGGAGATGCATGGGAATTTCCTGAGTTCCAAAACAGCATCCTACATGATGAATCCAAAAAGGGGGAGGTTACAACTGGTGGGATTAAGCCTAGCATGGTGGTGCACAGCTTTAATCTCAGCAGAAGAGGCAAATCTCTGTGAGATCGAGACCAGCCTGGTCTATGTGAGTTCCAGGCCAGCTATGGCTACTGAGAGACCCTGACTCGAAAACAGAAAAACTGGTTGTTTTTTGGGGATAAGGGCTCCTGCTACTAGATTGGCCTCCAATGTAGGCAAGGCTAGCCTTCAACTCCTGATCTACCTGTACAACCAGAACTTTGCTTTTTTTAAGCATAATTCCGTTTTTTGAATTTTTTTTGGCCAGCATTACATACTGTTGTCCACTAGATGTCAGCATCCCCTCTAGTGTGTTCTCTGTCTAGTGTTTCTGTCTCCAAAAGGTTTTAACTATGTACCCCTGGCCTGGAACTCACAGTAGTTCTCTACTCTTAAAGCTAGTACCAGAATCTACATTCACTTCTCAAACAGTCTGCCAGGCAATGCCCTGACTCCTCCAATGAAAATACACTCTTAACCCTCCTTCTGAGATGCTTTTAAACATGGTTTTTAATACCTTTATTGAGCTACAATTTGCATATGATATATAAAGCTCATTGTGTACAATAAACTGAGTTTTTGTGTATTTACTGTCTTGTACAACCATAATTATAACCTGATTTCAGAGCATGTTCTTCACTCCCCACAACCCTGGAACTTCAGTTGTTCCTCTCCACTTACCTGCTTGCTCCTCTCTTTCCCCAGCCCCAGGTAATCATTAACCTATTTTGTTTTGGAAGTAATTTTTTTTTCTTTCTTTTTTTTGTCTTTTTGAGACAGGGTCTCCCTGTAGCCCCAGCTGTCCTGGAACTCACTATGTAGAGCAGGCTGGCCTCGAACTCACAAAGATCCACCTGCCTCTGCCTCCCAAGTGCTGGGATTAAAGGCGTGCGCCACCACGCCTGACCTGGAAGTAATTTTTAAATACATTCAGTGATGAAAAGTTCTTTGTAGTTAGATAGAAGACTTCTGACAATAACCAAAAGCCACCAGTGCCAAGCTTATGATTAGACAGTGATGACGCTGCAGATGTATAGTGAGCCAATCACATTATCTTTAAAAGCTACCAGGAGGCTCTGCTATTGTTTTGTAGAAGTGACAGTAGTAATAAGAGTGATCTCCACTACTGTATCACATACATTTCTTCATAAATAACAAAGAAGCCACATTAAAATAATTCACCCTAATGTTCAAATGTTCATTTCTTTAATGATCAGCAACAAAGAATTTAAAATAAACATGAAGAGTAAAAAATATAATTTATAGAGTAACAGATCTGTCTGCATACACATACAGAGATACACACAGAAATATATGTATGTATATATAGATGTATATATACACATATTATATATGAGTGTTTTGTCTACATGTATGTAGGTGCATCATGTGCATGTAATGCCTAAGGAGGTTAGAAGAGGACATAGGATCCCCTGGAATTGGAGTTACAGACAGTTGTTAGCTGCCATGTGGGATCTGGGACCCAATCTTGATCCTCTGAAGAACAACCAATGCTCTTAACCACAGAGCCATCTCTCCAACCCCCAACATTTAAATATTTTTAAAGTCTCACTTTACTATAAAATAACTTTCTCTCACTTTACTATAAAATAACATTCTTATCAATGGTAAACTAAAGAATTCTGGAAACCCATAATTTCTTTCAGAAGTTACAGATCTAGCCAAAGATGGGTCATATATACAACAACAGGTACACCTACAAGCAACTCAGGGTTGAGTGTGCAAATCCTCTGTGGCAATAACTCACTAGTAGAAAAAAGCCACAGACTGTAGAGTCATTAGTATGCTCTGCTGATCATATATGAATAGGCTAGGAAAAATCTAGCACTTCAAATTCAAAGAGACTTTACTAACATGTATGTTACTCTATTGGTGCAAACTGTCTAATCTTTAAGAAACATTTTATCTCACCAGAGATGCTTCCTTGTGCAGCAAATGGCAATTAATATAGACACCCACAACTGGCCAATATTCAGAGAACAAAAGGCCGAATAGGGCATTTATTTCAAATTTCTGCCTCCCAAGGCTCAGAGGTCTTTGTGGAAGAGGGAGAAGAGCCAGAGGTGGTAGATGACCATAAGGATACGGAGTTTTCCAGGCAGCTGGTCAGTTACTCATATGAACTCAGGGCAATGAGGACAGCATGCACAAGTCTCAGGTAAACTCAAACCAGACAAAATTCCAGCAGACATGGGGAAGTGGGTAAGAAATCACAACTCAACCTAAGGAACTTTTGGCAGGGAAGGGGAGAGACAGCCTCTTACAGGGACTCTTGATAGGTTAACCAGGCTCTAGTAGAGGGACATTTGAGGACACAAATCTGACTTTATAGGCCATATTATGTGTGTGTGTGTGTGAACACATATATAACAGAGTACATTAAATTGGGCAAGGGTCAGTAAGGGGTAAGTGTGGATAGGGGAAGGGATCTAAATACTATCAAATTATATTGTATAAAAATCTCAAGCATTCAATAAAATTTTTTAAAACAGAAACATTTAAAAGTTACATATTAGGGGCTGGAGAGAATGCTCAGAGGTTAAGAACACTGACTGTTCTTGCAGAAGACCTGGGTTCAAATCCCACATCCACACAGCAGCTAACAACTGTCTGTAATTCCAGTCCCAGGGGATCCAACAACCTCTTCTGTTGTCTTTGGGCACTGCACAACACAGGTGTACTTACCTACAAGCAGGCATAACACTCATACACATAAAAATAAAAATAATAAAATATTTTTAAAAGTTACATATTAAATTGATGGTTAATACTATATATTAAGATGAGGGTTTACTAAAGTAATTTTAGTTATATGATTTAAGATAACGTTTTACCTCCTTGTTTTATGTTAAAAGCACTTACCCAAAACCAAGAACACCCACCAGAGCCAGTACTGACCATCAAAGTATCCAGGGAAATAAGTGGAAAACTGAAGGGAAAAAAAAAAAAGGTAAATACTTTATTGCATCTAACAGACATGATTTCGCATACTAATTCAAGGGCACACAAAACATTACTGTCATTTAGACCACACAATAATTTTAAAAATACAAGTCTAGGGACTGGAATGATGGCTTAACAGTTAAGAACACTCACTGGCTGCTCTTGCAGAGGACCCAAGTCTGGTTCCCAGCACCCACATGTTGGCTAACAACCATCTGTAACTAACACCTTCTTCTGTTCTTCTGGCCTCTGTGGGCATGGCATGACACAGTGCACTTACATGCATGTAGGCAAATCACTCATACACATAAAATAAAACATTAAAAAAAAATACAAGTCTATATATTAGTGACTTGAAATTGCTCCAACAAATGCAAATCTACTTCCTTACATGAAAAAGCAATCTTTAAAGTCATCTGCTTTGTTATAGACTCATTTTCAAACTATACAAAAAGAACTGCTTTTGTTGAGACAGACTTGGCTATATAGTTCAGGCTGGCCTCAAAGTCTTGTTCCTTCTGCCTCAAGTCTCCCAAGTATTGAGATAACAAGCTTGTGCCATCACACCTGGCTCAAAATGTGTGTAAGACAGATCAACATTTGCTAGATCTGACCATAAAACCCTAAGGCAGGAAATGTGTGCAAGTGATTTTGGTTCACTTCATCATGAAATGAGACCTAAAACAAACCAGATTATCACTTTAAATGTTGAAGTAACAAAAACTACAGATGAAAAATCAAATATTCAGAAGCATTCTAATTACTGTCTCTCTACATAATCTATCAATCTATCTTCTCCGTTATATAACTTACCCTGACAATCAGGATCCACTTAATTAGAGAGAGACCAAATCCTGAGATGGCCCCATACCTTCCTGCAGCTGAGGTGGTCAGGCAAAAAGACAAGAAAAACCCAATCCAGTTGAAGAGGAATGCCACTGTAGGAGCAGAAGGGGAAGATGTGTTAGCCAAGGAACCACAATAGCATCCTCCATCCCAGCCTCTGCTTAGATGACTTTCCCAGGGATAAAAGACAGCCTGCCCTTCACAACACATCTCATTCTCCCCCCAAACATCCTTCTCCTAACTTCCCCCAAAATAAGGAAAGCTCTCTCTGAATATCATGCTTTAGCCTTTATATGTATTGCTATTCACTGTCAAAAATGCCACTAACCTGTACCTGTGCTCTTTGCTGTTAATATACTTAAGTAAACTAAATACCTTAGGTATTACACTGGATAGCTTCAGCTGTCAACTTGCCACACTTGAGGGAATTTAAACTGAGGAACTGCCTCCACTGTATTGGCCTGTAGCCATATCTGTGTGGTATTTTCTAGATTACTGAGTTGATATAGGAGGGTCCAGCCCATCATGAGTGATGGTATCCGTGGGCAGGTGGTCTTGGGTTATATAAGGAAGCAGGCAAAGCACAGGCCTGGGGAGCAAGCCAGTAAGCGGGTTTCTCCAAGGTGTGTGCTTGAGTTCCTGCTTCTAGGTTTCTGCCCTGACTTCCCTCCATGACCTGGGAGATGTCAGATTAAATAAACCCTTTCCTCCCCAAGTTGGTTTTGGTCAGTGTTTTTAATCACAACAATAGAAACTAGGACAGGTATTAAATTAGAGTCCCCAAATAATCTGATTCAAGTTATTCATCTTCCTGCTTTGTGTTCTGACAGTTCATAACATCATTTCTAATTGCTAATTCTAATTTTCTGTGCTTTTAATAGAACAAGTAAGTATTCACTTTAAAGTGAGGTACATAAAAAGATTAATACAAAATAACAGAAAGGGAAAAATCAAGTTGATTTTGGTATCAGAAGATAAAAGTTCATAAAACAAAATTCATCAAAATAATTTTCTTCCTACTCAGCAGGTTGAGTATGAGCCAATGGGATAGCAGCGGGCCCTATGGGCCTGAAGATGAGGTGAGGCTTGTGTAAAAATGCAGCACCCAATTAACTGTTTTAATTATACCTTCCATGGATTAATTCAGAGAACTTGGGTTGTAGGAAGTGACTCTGTTGTGTATATACTTACTGAAAAAAGTTAACATAAAAATCCCATCGTTTCCTATCCTTAGCTGGTCAGCATCATCAAAATCATCCCGACCCACAAAATCCTCATCCTAAATGAAGGAAAAAAGAATAAGGTAAAGTCATAATAAATTATTTCTAGACAAAGGAATAACATCAGGAAAAATAAAAGGAGCAAATACAAACACTATAAGCATTAAAAGCTCAGCATATTTAAAAATTTTTGTATTTTGCATTCTAAGTAAAAGATATAACTGGAGCAGAAACAAATCATTTTTTAAATACTGCCATAGCTTTCTAAACAAACTTTTCATTTTAAAAACCCAAATTAGTGTTCTTCTCACTGATACTGTCTGTGCTAGGGACTGCATCTAGGACTTCACACATGCTAAACAGGAACTCTGACATTGAGCTACATTTCTACGCCAAATTCTTTTAAGAAAGGGCTTCGAATCAAAGCTTACAAAGAACTGTTTACTCTTCCTTCTAAAGAACATATCTCAAAGGCTCTCTTGAGTAGCCTGCACCCTTGTCTTGAGTGCGTACTGTTCCTCAGCGCCCATGCTTCAAACTGCTTTTTAATAAATTCTAATTTTTCTTCCAAAAGATCTATCTCAAGAAAAGAAAAAATTACACATGTGACTTAAATTCTAGAATATCAGTAACCTGGGGTCTGTTTCAGGCTATATTTGTAATCTAGGGTCTACTGAGGAGATAAAATGGACCAGTTCAAGTGCTGACATAGACCCAAGGGGAGAAGGACAGAACATTCATGCATGAAGAGGTCACAGCTGTCCACCGCTCATCAACAGAAGCATTTACTTGCATTTGAATACAGGTCTGACATAACTTACCTCCTTCCTGGTAGATAAGATCTTTTCATCCTCATCAGAAAACACACTATTGCAGTCTAGAATGAACATCATCCTGACCAACACCAATGTATGTGGCCTACCTTTCCAAATGATGTAGATTACAAATTGAAGTATTTAAAAGTACTGAATATAACTTCAAAGTAAAACTGACAAGACTTCTACAGAGTTCAATGAGGACTCCCCAAATGGAAACAAAATGTTTTGGGGACAATCAGAATTTGTTCTATCTGGAAAACGAGTTGGGATGACCCCTACCAAACTGCTACCAGTGGTTTAGAGCAAGGGATCTACAAACAAGAATGCAGTGGCAGATTTGTTTCCTAATTTGTTTTTTTTGGTTGTGAGCCTGAGCCTTCAACAGCTGCGGCATCTCTCCCATCCTCTTTTTTTTTTTTTTTGTTTTTTTTAAAAGGGGTTTTCCTT